GCGTCGGCGATATACGTCGCCGACGCCGTATACCATATATATATATATATTTTTTTTATTTGAGATACGGCGTCGGCAACGTATAACGCCGACGTCGTATCTCGTATTTATTTTTTATTTATTTTTTATTTAATATACGGCATCGGCCATACCAAATAACCGACGTCATATGTATTTTTTTAAAAAATAAAAAATAATTTTAAATATTTAACGTCGGATTTTCAAAAAACCGACGTTATAATGTAGACGTTAAATCCGTTTTCTGTAGTAGTGACCCTTTATTGAAATAGGTATGTACTTTGATGACAATGTGCAATTCAAGATGGCTATGATTAGTTATGTTGTACATACAAAGAGAGATCTATTTTGGAAAAAGAATGGTTTAAAGTATGTTAGGATTGAGTGTCTTGGAAAGGGTTGTGATTTTTATGTCAGTGCATGGTGGGAAGAAAGAACAAGTTGTTTTCAGGTTAAGTCAATCTTGTTGGAACATAAATGCAATAATCAATTTACCTTAGGGATAGTTAGTCAGAAATGGTTGGAATGGAAATTTGAAGAAAATGTGAGGCAAAATCCAACTATTGGTTATTCAGAGTTGAGCAGAGACATAAAATCTGAAATGAACTTAAATGTTACTGTTAGTATGTGTAGAAGGGCAATAACAGGGATATTGAAGAAGTTGGATATTGGGTATGAAAGTCAGTTCAAAAGACTTAGGGATTATGCTCAAGAGTGCTTGGACTCAAATTTGGGTTCCACAGTGAAGATACATACAACCAGCACAGTGGAAAACTCACCATTGGTGTTTCAGAGGATATATGTGTGTTTTAATGCCATGAAGAAGGGTTTTGTAGAGGGTTGCAGGAGGTTTATTGGACTAGATGGATGCTTTTTAAAAGGAAAACTGAAGGGTGAAATACTGACTGTTGTGGGTAGAGATGGGAACAATCAAATGTACCCAATTGCTTGGGCTGTAGTAAAGATTGAGAATATCTTATCATGGAAATGGTTTCTGGAGCTTTTAAAGTCAGATTTGGGAATTCTGGATAACACTCAATGGACCTTAATGAGTGATCAACAGAAGGTAAATCCATTTGAATTCTTTACTTATTTAAATATGTTATTAGTTTACAGAAATTGTCAAAGAACAGATTGTTATTTAATTAACTTGAATTTTTTTGTGCAGGGGTTAGCTAATGTCATACAGGAGCTATTTCCTGGAGTTGAGCACAAAAATTGTGCAAGGCATGTCAATGCCAACTGGAGCAAGAAGCACAGAGGGAAGGTACTGAAGGCTCACTTCTGACAGATTGCAAAGACACCTACTCAAGAACTACTTGCAGAGAAGTTGAAAGCTTTGGAAAAGGTTGATGCTACAACACTCCATGATCTTAACAAGTATCCAATGCAGTTCTGGTGCAAAGCATTCTTCAAAGAAGAAGTTAAATGTGACTTGGTGGACAACAATCTTAGTGAGGCATTCAACAAGACATTGTTGAATGCAAGGTCCAAAAACATTATTCCAATGCTAGAAGATATAAGACTTTTTGTGATGAAGAGGGTTGCAAAGAAGAAAGCATTCGCTGAAAGATGGAATGGGACTTATGGGCCATGTGTGATGAAGAAATTGAATGAGAACATACTTGGCAGTGCTGGTTGGGAGGTTATCTACAATGGAGCTGATGGATATGAGGTTAAAAAGGATAGATTCCAATTTAAGATCAATTTAGAGTTGAAGACATGTTCTTGTAGACTATGGCAGTTGACTGGTTTGCCATGTTCTCATTCCATTTGTGCTATATTTCACAAGGGGCATCAGCCAGATCAGTACATCTATCAATGTTACAGTAAGGACATGTACTTGAAGACTTATGAGCATGCAATAGAGCCAATGAATGGAGAAATATTTTGGCCAAGAACTCAAGGAGATGAGATACATGCCCCAGTGCCAAGGAAGATGACTGGTAGGCCCAAGAAAAAAAAGAAAGCTTGAAGATGATGAAAAGAACAAGGATAAAAACAAATTGAGTTTACAGGTTAGAAAGCTATCAAGGAAAGGAAGAATAATGACCTGTCAACTGTGCAAGGGGAAGGGGCATAACCAGAGATTCTGTCCTACCCAACAAGGACAATCTAGTACTTCTACTGGTGTTAGAGGAAGGGGAAGGGCTCCTACTGGTGTTAGAGGAAGAGGAAGGTCAGCTACAAGGATAATATTAACTCAAGAAAGCACTCTTGGGACCTCAGGTAATTAGATTAAGCTAACAATATCTATAGTGGTTCTAGGACTGTTGGATTATGATAATAAAGTTCCGTTAATGTTTGTAGATTGCACACAACATTGAAGAGTTAGAAGATGGTTGCATGGAGGGTTACAGTACAAGACTTTTTGGCAGCACTATTTCCAGCATTTGGCTACTGTTAATTGGCAGCAATTGGCTACACTTTTTGTGCATGTATATTGACAGCTCTGTTAATGTATTATAGGAAGTTTGGATATTTAGTTTTGGCTACTGAATTTATGTGCTAATGTTTTGGCACTGTCTAAGGTGAATGCAAACTGAAATTGGCAGTGAAGTTTAATATGTATTTTGGCAATGTCTTAAGGTTAATGCAAACTGATTTTAACAATTTTTGTTTCAAGTTTATGCATGTGGAATATGTATGTGGTTTTTGTTGATTCTGGAGTATGTATGTGGTTTATGTTGATTCTGGAATATGTATGTGGTTTATGTTGATTCTGGAATATGTATGTGGTTTATGTTGATTCTAAAATATGTATGTGGTTTATGTTGATTCTGGAATATGTATGTGGTTTATGTTGATTCTGGAAAATTGGGACTCAGTAGCCAATTATCATTCCACAACACTAAATGATTTGCCATTCTGATATGCAACACTAAATTGTGGTTTTAGTAGCCATTCTGATTTGCCAATAAATGATCTGCAACACTAAATGATCTGCAACTCTAAATTGAGGTTTCAGTAGCCATTATAATCTGCCAGTAACCAAAATTGGGGCTCAGTAGCCAATTAAATTAAATAGCCAAAATTAAATGCAAACTGGATTTCATTCTGCAACACTAAATATTTCATTCTTCAACACTAAATGCAAAAAGCAAAATGTAAAATGGAATCTCAAACTACAAACTGGTCATTTTCATTACAAGGTCAAAAAATGATTACAATCTCTAACTACAAATTTTGGATACAAGCACCACAATAACAATTAATAGAACAACACAGCCCCTCCTCAACACTTCATTTTGTTTTTTCATAGTACTATAGTCATTAACAATTAGTTCTCTCACACTTTCAATTTCACACTTCAAAGACACCAACAGCTTCTTTAGGTCTTCTTGCTCACTTTCGCCCCTCCTTGCACTGTGATCCTTCCAAAGGAAAAAGCCACAACCATTTCCATCCTATACAACTCAATTACCCAAAAAAAAAAAAATTACAAATAAAAAACAAAAACAAAAAAAAAAACAAAAAAAATTCCAGAAAATTAACAAACCCTAAATTTAATTTTAAAGCAATTGAAAACTCAAATTCATTCGAAAATTCATAAATCCATACCTTCTATCTTTGACATCCGAAGAATTACTTTCCCGAGTCTCTACTTGTGCAAATAGGAGCTTTCAACCCACAATTACAATAAACACTAGGCTCGTACTCCATGTTTACTCTCACTCGTGATGAATTCGAGGAAGATGACATCTTGTACCCTTAGTGCGTCGTCGGAATTGGTTGTGCGTCGTCGGAATTGGTTGTGCTGCGTCGTCGGAATTGCTTTGCGAATGGGAGAAGGGAGAGCAGTGGAGTGGATCGTGCACAATTTGTGAAAGGGAGAAGGGAATAGAATATTAATACTTAAAATTAGGAGGATATATTACAACTAGGCGCCACATAAGCTTATAACCGGGAACATATCATCAGGTTTACCGGACAACCTTTAAAAAGGCTAGATGAAAAAAAAATTGGTTTATGTATCTAATCAGCACTTATAAAAGTTCAGGGTGCGGGATGAATAATCGCTTATAGTTCGTGGTGCGGATTGACACTTGAGCCTTTTTTTTTTTTTTTTTTTTTTTTTTTTTTTTTTTTTTTTTTTTTTTTTATCTTGAATTGAATTGTAATACTTAGTTAGGAATTGTAATACTTACTCAGTTGATGAAATGGACCTTGTTTCGTTTAAGCTCACTGATCATCCTAATAAAGTAGCTTTCTTTCTCAGTTTTGATCCTGATCGAAGACTACAATGGATCAGAAGATTCCTTGCTATCAATTAATCATTTTATGAACATTGTAACTTGCATTGGATTGTTTTGAGTATTTTGTGAAAAATAACATATGTTATGCTTCTTTTGAATATTGTTAAATGTTCTTTACAAAAGTTTGTTATTTATATGACTATTTTGTTTTGAGTATTAATCACTTGATATGACGACGATGACGGTAATAATAATAATAATAATAATAATAATAATAATAATAATAATAGTAATAATAATAGTAATAGTAGTAATAGCAGTAATAGCAATAATAATAATAATAATAATAATAATAATAATAATAATAATAGCAATAATAGCAATAATAATAATAATAATAATAATAATAATAATAATAATAATAATAATAATAATAATAATAATAATAATAATAATAGTTTTTGTACAAGGGCATTTATGTCTTTTAAACATATATTCTATTCCTATTCCTTAACCAACCAAACATTGGAATACAGTTCCCAATGTCTATTCCTTTAGCGAACCAAACAACAGAATACAATTCCTATTCTATTCCTTATCTATTCTATTTCCTATGGAATAGCATTCCTATTCCTTCCAAATTCATTCCGTGAACCAAACGGCCCGTAAGTACAAATAAATATGTGATTCACTACAAATAAATTTATAATTTATATTAAAAATATAAATATGTACGGAGTATTATTAAAGATTCATAGGTAACGTGGAATATAACGTTTTCCATAAACAATCTCTCCTATAGAGATACATCATACGTGCAGACACCCCTACCCGACCCGACACTCCACCAGCGCATTGACCTAACGACATATGCACGTACGCATCAACATTCAGATTACGCCATTGCTCTAGGCTTCACTTCGATTGAGGTACGATTCTTCTGTTCTTTGATTTTGAAGTGTTTGTAATCGGTCAATTTCCCCAACTTGTGCGCCTTCCTGCTGAGGTTTCATCTGGGGTGGGTTTTCTGCTATTCTCAGTGTTTCTGCGTTTGTCAGCTTACTTATATTCTACGTTTTTCATTATATATGCAAGTAGCAGCTCGCGTGTGTAAAGATTGTGGTTTTGGGGTAGATTCAGTTCTCTCCTCCCTGTAATATTACCGTTCTGCGTGTACATTGACGTGCTTTTATTTTTTACTACTGTATTTGCTTGTGATTGAGAGGGCCTTGAATATTTGGCTAAGATTGATGTTTCTTAATAACGAAGGAGTGGGAAAAGTGAACTGTAATACGGACTGATGAAACTGTTGGGTTTCGGTGTATGGTGGAGCTAAACATTTTAAAATTGAACAAATTAAAGGATTCAAGGTTTAATTTTGTTTGTTTGTTTGTCATGAGGATTGAGGGGTTTGTAATAATACTTTTTTTTTTTCTTTGTTTGACTGACATATGTTTGAGTTTTTTTATTTGTGATTAGTTGGGCAATTCTGTACTGCTAGATGGGCGAGACTGGGAAGCGATTCCGCAGGGATGATGGGGACTACAAGAATCAGAGAAGGAGGATAGAGAGAGATGAGAAGGGTGATGCTGAGCTGGTTGTCTACAGGATTTTATGCCCTGGTATTGTTATAGGAAGTGTTATTGGAAAGAGTGGAAAAGTCATAAATTCCATTAGACAAGATACCGGTGCAAGGGTCAAGGTGGTGGATCCATTTCCGGGTGCTAAGGATAGGGTTATACTCATTTACTGCTATGTAAGAGAGAAGGAAGATGTTGAGATTGACAAGGAATTCAGTAACTATAGGCCGCTTTGTGCTGCACAGGATGCTCTTCTTAAGATGCATGCAGCAATTGCTAATTCTATTGCTTCACTTGGGGAATCTGACAGGAGGCGGAAGGAAAGGGAGGATTGTCAGCTTCTTGTTCCTTCTAGCCAGAGTGCAAATATCATTGGGAAATCTGGGGTAACCATAAAGAAGCTGAGAAGCAAGACAGGGACAAACATCAAGGTAACTGCAAAGGATGCCGGTGATCTAAACCATTCCTGTGCATTGGAGTTCGATAATTTTGTGCTGGTTAGTATTATTCACTGTAATAAATAGTTTCTGCTTTATATGCACTTTGAAGTCTTTTATTGTGATTTTAGATCTGGAAAGGTGCCTCTTGAATCTTGAGGCTACATTTTCATTTTTTTTTTGTTTGTTAATTTTAAATTTGTTTTGTTCTGTTTGATTTCCTTCTGTCAAATAATTAAAATTGCTATTTATAGAAAATTTGAAACTGTACTTCACTACTTCGGTTGTTTATGGATGATTCATGATGTGCTTTGTACTTGTGCCTAGATTTCCGGTGAGTCAGAAGCTGTAAAGAAAGCACTCTTTGCAGTTTCTGCAATCATTTACAAGTTTGCACCTAAAGAAGATATTCCTCTTGATACCACCATTCCGGAAATCCCTGCAAGTATTATTATACCATCAGATGCTCCTATATATCAAGCTGCCGGCATTTACCCAGGCGTAGATCCTATTGTCCCTACCAGGCCTGTTTCCTCTGTTTTAGGTCCACATGTACAAGAGTTTCCAGGTTATCTGGATGCAGGGAGCACGTGGCCAGTTTACTCATCTGCTCTTCCTGTTGTTTCGGGTCAGACTGGTGCATCTCGAACCGAGGAGTTGAGGATCAGATTATTATGCCCATCCCACAATATTGGGCGTGTTATTGGCAAGGGTGGAAACTCAATCAAAAGCATAAGGCAGGCTAGTGGTGCTCAAGTTGAGGTTGGTGATGCTAGAGCTGAACGGGATGAGTGTATCATCACTGTGATCTCTCAGGAGGTATTGTCTTCCATATTGCATAATATAGGATATCTTCCTTGCTGCCTTTCAAAATTAGGGGGAATTGACTGAAATTGGCAAAAATGGGATAAGATGGACACAAATAGGTAATTCTATAACTTGGACAAAAAATGGCAAAACTACTTTGGTGCTAATGCACTTTAGTCGAACTTTTCCCTCAAATGCATGTCGTAAATGCAGTTGGGCCTGATTTTTAAATTTTCACCACCATGATGAAATTTTAGGGAAAGTTTGACTAGCCTAAGTAGTTTTGCCTATTTTTGTCCATCCCATTCCATTTTTCCCTATATCAGTTAATTTATCTTAAAATTAGTGAAGGTGGAAGAAAATTCTTCTATTTTGGAATCCTTTTGTAGGTATTTTGTTCATAGGAGAGCAGTTCTCACTTTCCATTTGATGCAAGGATTGCACCAAAAACAGAATTTACCATGCACTCTCCCCCACGTGACCTATGTTCTTCTTAAAAGTGCTTCTTTTGGGGTCCATAGGACCATATCCTCAAAAGATATTTGCTAATCCCATGCTCATACACCATAACTGTTATGTCAAATTTTCTATGTTCCATCATCTACTTCATCCTACTCTATGATTTTTTTTTTTTTTTTTACATCAACATTACCTTCTTCCATTTGGTTTAACCACTCCCATGTATGGCCTTGTGCAGTCAGTGGATGATCTTAAGTCAATGGCAGTTGAAGCTGTGCTATTGCTGCAAGGAAAGATAAATGATGAGGATGAAGACACTGTAACTATAGGTCTTCTTGTCCCGTCTAAAGTTATTGGGTGCCTTATTGGTAGAAGTGGTTCAATCATAAGTGAAATTCGAAAAAGAACTAAAGCTGAGGTACGGATCTCAAAAGGCAAGAAGCCCAGGTGTGCAGATGCAAGTGATGAACTTGTTGAGGTTTGCATTCGGTTAATTTATTTTCTATTTGACTTCTTGCTTATTGTGAATCTTTATCAGTATGTTGATGCTCAAGTTGCATATTTAGGTGGTTGGGGAAGTCAGCAATGTTAGGGATGCACTTATCCAAATTGTGCTGAGGCTCAGAGATGATATTCTCAAGGACCGAGAAGGTGGGCATAATTCTTCTTCTGGTGCTGATCTTTTACACACTGGTGGGGCTCATCTTTCAGTGCCTTCAGTTTTACCCAGTATTCCTCAAGTAGCTTCTTTGAGATATGAGCAAAGTACTGAAACTGGGGCTGGGGCTGGGGCTGGTGTTGGGATGCTTTCTTCAAACAGCGTTTATGGACATGGATTTCTATCGGTATGCCACATGCATTTTCTGAATTCTTTTCTATTTCACTCATTGTTAAATCATGGAATATCAAGGTGTTCTTAGTTCTGTTTATATTTGATTCTTTGATCCTTGGTTGTATTAGTTTCCTTTTAGTTAGTCCATATTCCATCCTTAAAGAAGGCCTAAAAGAAAAAGGGAAAGCAGCAAAATGTACATGGACGAAGTGAAGAATGATTGGTGTTGATTAGTACCATATTTTGTGTGTAAAAAGGAGTATAAAATTTGTTGGGGAAAATCTAGATCATATTAAGTTGAACTCAGAGGATTGTATACTATGCGGTCATATAATGGTATTGGCTACTCAGTGTGGACAGAGAAAGGTTATCTGATATTCACAGCAATTTCCTTTTTATTTCTTCTGCTCCTTAGAAAATTGAATTCCTGATGTATAGATGAGTTTAACCATTTTGTAGTCCTTAACTATGATTTTAGACTTCCTACTTCCTACACAACATTATATTAAAATTAGCTTTAATTTTATGCACCTATGACTGAAATTATAAAAAGTGGCTAAACATTTAAAATGTCTTTATGTTCAAGGAGTGATAAAAAATGTTACTATCTGTTCAACATTTTTCCTTCTCAATTTAATTTCTTGTTAAATCTTTTTTTCATGTTTTCCTACCCTCTTTTGTGTTGAAAGATTGGAGACAATAGCCATGGATTGTTGTCATCCTATTCACCTAAAATATATGGCAGGTACTATACCTTACGTTCTGGTATTGGTTTATTTTATTTTTGTGGAATAGTTCTTTGGTGCTCTCTCTCTCTCTCTCTCACACACACACACACACAAGTGTGACAATGGCTTGTATTTTCAGCAGATTACCTCCACCCTCTACCCTAGAAGTGGTTATCCCTGCTCATGCTGTTGGTAAGGTTATGGGCAAACGTGGAACTAACATGGACAACATTCGAAAGGTGCATATTTTACTGTATTTAGTATCACCTTTTCAGTGCTTTAATTATTTCACAAATAAAAGGTTCATTATTTCCTATAAGGGTCAGGTTTTCTTTGCTCAATCTTCCACAGCTAACGAAATGGTTTTAATTTTTTAACTTTGGATAATTTCACCTAATCATGCATGTGTGGCATAATGTTTGTTTCCATTTTCCTAATAAACTTCAAATGGAAAAATTTAACAAATCATTTATGTGGATGATGCATTATTTTCTTCTGAAATTGGACCTTGCACATTATGCTTTCTAAGTTGAATGTTTGCTGGTCAGACATATAGAGTGGGAACCTTATTTTCTTGCAGCTATAATCCTTTTAATTTTCTTATTGACGCATTTATTCTCTTCCAGATATCTGGAGCATCTATTGAGATCACTGATTCCAAATCCTCCCGAGGTGATCGTATGGCTTTAATATCCGGCACACCTGATCAGAAACATGCTGCTGAAAACTTGATCCAGGCATTCATAATGGCCACTTAGATTCATATTGGTGTGTCTCACATTTGAGGTGTCCTTCAGCTTCGTCTCTATAATCTATTAGGTATTTATGTTGAAGAGAGGATTGATTAGGATTTTACTGGAATCCTGTCCCTGCTGTAGGAAAGCCTGCAGCTATTATCCATTAAGTTTGCCCACTTTCTGTCACCTAAATAGGTTCTGGTGGTGGCATGTTGCCAGCTAGTTTTTTCTCCGTCTGTGGTTCCGTTAGGATTTCACTGGATATTTTCTTTTCTTTCATAGTGTTTTAATCAGTTCTGACCTTGGCTTTGCCTTCAATCTTATCTTCAACATTGTCATGCATTCAAAGTTAATGAGGATCATATAGCTGTTACCATGCTGTCCCTGCCATAATATGTGGCTTCTGGTCTTTTTCATTATTCTTTATCATCAATCTCTTCTAAAATGTCTTCCTACATGTGGTTGAATCGTGCTGGTTTCGTTTCTCCTTGCTGTGCTCTTCATAATTATTCTGGCACAGGTTCATATCGATCTCTGCTGTTGTGTGCAGGGAGTACTAAGACTTTTGTCCTGATTGAATACCCTGCTTGGCTTTAGAAGGCCTCCACAAGGACCACAAATAAAATTTAATACTCTTATGCTTGACTTATGAAGGTTTTGCTTTGAACTTTGCTACTAACTTTAATTAACTTATTTCGTTTTTATAAGCTTCCTACAATTTCCATTACCTGTTTCTCATCTGTTGTTTATTGACTCATCGTGTATTTTACACTGGATCCATTTTACGACTCCATATATGATTTCTAAACTAGAAAGAGAAGGCATGAAAAACCAAACCGTTTCCTTTCTTTTTTGTTATAATCATTTGCCTTCTCATTTCCCATCCTTATCCACCTTCACAAACACTAAATTTAGCTTCATTTTAGAACTTCCAAAACTGGGTTATTTTGTTATACTCTGTTTTGGTAGGATGATTATTAAAACAAAAAAATCAAATGTCACATTCATTTTCTATCTAAGTTCTGCCCCATCTCGTGGATACCATTGTGCCTTTCTGAAACCTTTGATGCTAGCTTTCTTTGGGCTCAATCCACATGCACTATAGAGTTCAGTTAAATGTTTTTGCTTAATCTGAGGCGTAATTTATACCTCGAAACAATATCTCTATTATTTACCTTAGAAGTATATGCTCTTCAAGCTCTGAAGGACCTGAAGCAAGAACTAATCTGTGTCCGTATTCTTTCAAAACTTTGGCTCTTTCTATTGTAACAACGGCTTGTTTTTCTTCAAATGTGTCTGAATTGTAATGATCTTCAGATTGCTAACTTTCTTCCTCATTAACTCTCTAGTCCCCTTTTCTATTTCTTCTCTCTGTGAATGCCCTCTCCCCTTTTCCCATCCATTTTCTGTTTCTCTTATTTCTCATTGTATGCTAGTATCGTACAAATTTAATATTCTAGGTTTATTCTCTGGCTTGAGACCTCATCATACTAGGAAAAGTAGCTCTTCTCGTGCTAGTGTTAGGTTCGGTGTCTCATACTCTTGCCATGTACTCAAACTGTGGTGGCTACTATTTCAGATTTAGGAAGTCGCAAGGTAGGCATTTAGTGCTCACTTTGGTTCGAGCTTTTATTTCTTTTAAACAAGCTTCTGGGAGATAATTTTTGGAAGATCTCTCTCTCTTGTTGAACGTGATTAGGTAGAACACTTTCTGGAATGTGAAAGATGGATTTCATTAGAATATTACTCTCCTTACCCCCTCTTTATTAGAACTCAACTGTCCTCAATTTGCTATGGTCTTCTCTGGTGTTCGATGTGCTAGGAGGATCGGCTAATATCAAGTATTTTCCATACTTTTGCTCTATAGTCTTACTTTCCAGGTGAACTACAAAGGTCTGGGGGTTGGGAGCCCCTGCAGATTCCGGGGTAGGTGATCTGCTTCGTTTTTCCTTTTCTATTCCCGATTGCAACAATGTAGTGTCAAGGAACTTATAAGGTGGTATTGCATACATTTTTATTTGTTAGGAGGCATGTAGAATTAGGTGTAGTCGTTCATATTAGTTTGTGATTAATTTTTCATCGATTGCTTGACTTCGAAAGTGCCTGATGCTTTTGTATTCAAGACTAGCAAACTCAGTGGAGATGGATTTTTGTTTTGTTTTGTTTTTTTGGGGTCTTTATGTGTTATGTATGCATCTATATTTGATGGGATACTTGAATTTTCTTACATTAATGTCAATGACAGGCACTCTATGTTGGATATTGATGTTATTTGCCTGTTTAACATTTTCCAGCAAAGAGTTATGGGTTTAATGTTGCAGTGTTTAACTGTTGAAGTATTTATAGACTTGGGTTTTAAATCAGCTTAATTGGCGTGAGTGGTTGTGCACTCTCATCTTTAAGAGAGGTCGAGAGTCAAACCTCTTCTTGTGTGGAAAAATTAATATGAACAGTACTTTGTCCCTTAATTGGGTTGGACTGGTGCGAACGAGGATTAGTCTGAATATGGTACGAGCTTAAAGGTGCCTTTTACACTTATAATCTATTTAGGACACATTGTGGTCTAACAAAAAAAAAAAAAGTTTAGGTTTCAAGAAATCTTGAATTTTGTAATTTCACCATGTTAATGTTATCTCTTGCATTGATTATTAAGTATAAAAATATAGCACAAGTTATGTGAGAAAGAGGGAGTGTTGTATTATTGAGTACAAAAATATAGCACAAGTTTTGAGAGGCCGTTGCAAGTATACAAAGATTGAGAAGTTATACTCGGGAAATTTATTAGCTTCAATCTTAGTAAACGATGAGAAATATTACTTAAATTTTTAATTCTAATTTTTATTCCCAACTTTATGAGTATGCACTTTTCTTGGAACTCAGATAGTAAAAATAACTTATCATTGTTTATCACATCAAAGAATAAAAGTAAAAGAATAAAATAGTGATTGAGAATGAGAGTTTGCCTAGTATAATACAAGGTTATTAGTTTGCATAATACTGATTAATTTGTTTATTATGATAATATATATAGGTAATTATCATATACTATTTACCATCTAAATAATTTGTGGTAATTATTAACTTTATTTGACATCTAATTTATTATGGTAATTAAATATAGAGAATCACTTCTTACGACGATTAATTATTTAAAAATAATAATAATATCAATTACCCGTGCACTTTCTTTGATTACTTTTGAATAAAATTTTAAAAAATAGGGTAATTAAGGAATTAATACTTTCTGTAATATAAATTTTATCTAATCAGTTATGGAAATTGATAATACACATATTACGTCCATACTTAAAGGAGATTAAAAAAAATTATGATAATTATTCCAATTCACAGATTATTACGTCCATACAATTATGCAAATTGTTCCAATTTGCAGATTATTACACATAAAATTATGCTAATGCTTACTTTTGAATAAAATCTTAATAATTATGGTAATTAATAAATTAATTCACACATTATGCTTTTATTAAACTGTTTTTATACTTACCTTAATATAGATTTTATCTAATCAATTAAGGAAATTAATGGTACACATTACAAATAGACCTGGCAATTATGGTCACGACTCGTTAACACGACACGAAAATAACGAGTTAGTGTTTAGCCTTAACGTGTCTGGGATCATTAACGGATTGTGTAAACGGGTTAGTGTTTAGCCTTAACGTGTAAACCCGTTTACACGAACCCGTTTACACAAACCTGTTAATTAAACATGTCTATCGTGTCAGCCTGTTTAACCGGTTATCAAATTGTGTTCGTGTTAAAAATTTGAACCCGCTAACCTTAACGTGTCGTGTCCGTGTTTAATCTTATCGTGTCGACCCGTTAACGAACCCGTATACACGAATTGCTAGGTCTAATTACAAACATAATTAAAAGAAATTAAACATACACATTACAGACATAATTAAACGAAATTAAACATACACATATTATTATTTTATTAAGAATAATATATACTCCTTAATTATCATAATTATTCAGATTACGTGAACGTCATAATTAGCATAATATTAATTAAGAAAAATATATACTCCTTAATTGACATAGTAATCATAATAAAACGACCTCATTTTTATTGGAATTAATGATAAATGTTTCTGCCCATATATGAAATTAAACATACACATATTACGATAGGTACTTAAAGGAAAATAAACATACACATATTGCGTCCATATTACCAACCTGTATTTAGTACTTTAATCTTACTATAGTAATTAAATATAGAGTTTCACTTCATTTGATTATAGTGTATTTTTGTTACTTAAAATAATATCAGTTAGCCATGCTCTTCCATCTATTTTTTGTTTTAGACTTTTCTTAATATAATTTGTAAGTAATCAATTTCAACACTAATATACAAATCTTATACTTTCAAATATGTGTACACTTTCAAATATTAGAATTGTTTATAATTTTATCATTAATTTTATTATTTAAATATATAATAAAAAAAATTTATTTATACATCGCACGGTAATTTACTAATTACTAGTAACAACAACAACAAAAGGAAGAAGAAGCACTGAAATGAAAAGAAGAAGAAGAAGAACATGGGAGAAGTAGATGAAGAATACGCTAGAGAGAAAATGGGTGAAGTAAAATTAGGGCTTATATTATAATCTTTTTATTTTTATTTTTTACCTATGCTTATGTGGCAACACAAATATTAAGATTTTTGCTAAGAGCATCTCTACCTGTATTTTTGGCATGATTTTTGCACGACTTTTGAGGCTAGCAAGCTTATGTGGAGAAGAGAAGGAGTGAAGAGAGGAAAATAAAAATCCTTCTGGAAGGAGCTGATTTTTATCAGAAAAGTGAATCCCACCATATGTAAATATGACTTGTATTTGGTCGTGTGCGGATCCACCATAGTGCCTAGCCGGGCATGTCAATATGACATTTATTATTATTTTTTTTTTGTTTTTTTTTTCAGATTATGTTTTTGTTTTTGTTTTTGTTTTTTTGTTTTTTTTTTTCCTTCTCTCCCATCTTCTATTTTCTAGTTATACCTGCAAAAACACCTTAAAAACTACAACTATTTTGTGGTTAGAATTTGCTTTATTATATATATATATATATATATATATATATATATATATATATATATATATATATATATATATATATAACATTCTTTTATATTAATAATGAGATGTGTAATTTATAATGTGTTTTCTATTCAAATTATTTTATCAAATTAATTCTTGGGGTGCACTAGTGTTATTTGTGAAGAAAAAGGATGGTAGCTTGCGATTGTGTATTGACTATTGGAAATTGAATAAAGTTATTGTCAAGAACAAGTATCCTCTACCTCACATAGATGATTTATTTGACCAATTCAAGGTGCTAAATACATTTCAAAAATTGATTTGAAATTAGGGTACCATCAATTGAAGGTTTAAGCTAGTGATGTACCCAAGACTACTTTTAGGACCTGGTATGGCCATTATGAATTTTTGGTGATGCCATTCGGGCTACCTAATGTTCCTACTTTCTTTATGGATTTAATGAATAGGGTCCTCAAGTCATTTCTGGACAAATTTGTTGTGGTATTTATTGATGACATTCTGCTATATTCAAAGGGTGGGGAAGAGCATGCTCAACATATGAGGACCCTCTTGCACACCTTGAAGGAAAAGGAATTGTATGCCAAGCTAAGTGAATGTGAATTTTGACTTAAGGATATGTCTTTTCTTGGTCATGTAATTTCTAGGGGCTGGATTTCTTTAAACCCAACTAAGGTTGAAGCAATAACACAATGGCATAAACCCACTAATGTTACATAAGTAAGGAGTTTTCTAGGTTTAGCAGGTTATTACATGAGATTTGTGAAGGATTTCTCATTAATATCTATGTCATTGACTCGATTAACTCGGAAAGGTATAAAGTTTGAATGTGATGAGGAGTGTGAGAAGTGCTTTTGAGAATTAAAGAAAAGATTGGTTAGTACACCTATCTTAGCCCTACCATCCGGGGAAGGGGGATTTGTTATTTATAGTGTTGCATCAAGAAGAGGATTAGGATGTGTGTTGATGCAAAATGATAAGGTGGTAGCTTATGCCTCTCGACAATTCAAGCCCCATGAAGTTAATTACCTCACTCATGACTTAGAACTAACAGCTGTGGTATTTTCTTTAAAAATATGGAGGCACTATTTGTATGGAAAATCTTGTCAAATATTCACGGACCACAAGAGTTTGAAGTACCTCTTTACCCAAAAGGAAATGAACATGAGACAATGACGATGGTTGGAGGTAATAAAAGAATATAACCTCACTATTAATTATCATCCATGTAAAGCTAACATGGTAGCCGGTGCTCTAAGTCGTAAGTTCCACACGGTTAATGTGATAGTGGTAACTACTCAAACCCAATTGTTGAAAGATTTTCAAGATTTAGAAGTTGAGGTTTTTTGCAAAATAAGCAAGGGGGGATATTGGCAACTATGATTACAAAACCAGTATTATTAGATCGCATTAAAGTTGCCCAAGTTGATTAAGATTCGGGAAAATAAAAAAATCAAGCGGGTGACCCAAAAGAGTTCATTATTTAAGATGATGGATCCCTATATTTCAAGTCCCGGCTATGCATTCCGAATGATGTTGAGGTAATGAATGATATTTTAAAGGAAGCCTATCAGTCTTACTTCTTGGTACATCAAGGTGCTACCAAAATGTATAGAGATATGAGAAATAATTTCTGGTGGAGTGGTATGAAGTGGGATATTGCTGACTTTGTGGTTAGATACATGGTATGTCAACAAGTGCGTTAAAGTTGAACACCAAAGACCTACAGGATTATTGAAATCCTTAGAGATACCTCATTGGAATTGGGAACATATATCTATGGATTTTGTGAGTGAATTACCAAACAGTCATTATGGGAAAAATACAATTTGGGTTATTGTGGATCGACTCACTAAGGTTGCACATTTTTCTACCCATTAAGAAGACCTAGCTAAGTTGTATGTGAATGAAGTTGTAAGGTTTCACGGTGTACCTGTTAGTATAGTATCTGACCTGTACTCTAGATTTGTGTCAAAATTTTGGAGAAGCTTATAACGAGCCATGGGGACTGAATTAAAATTAAGCACTGCATTTCATCCACAAATAGATGGGCAAACGAGATGACTATTCTGACCTCGGAGGATATGCTTCGAGCTTGTGTCTTGGATTTCAAGAGTAGGTAGAGTATCAACCACTACAAGTCAGGGATAACCTAACTTATGACAAAGTACCTCTTCGCATCATTGATCGGAAGGAACAAGTGTTGCGGTTCCGAGTAATCCCATTTGTTAAAGTGCAATGTTCACATCATACTCCAAGAAAAGCAACATGGAAAAGGATGATGATATGAAGGATAGATATCCTAAACTCTTCAAGTTTGATGGTATGTAAGTTTCGAGGACGAAACTTATTTTAAGGTGGGGAGATTGTAATACCCACTATCTTAGAAATAAAAATATACCTATGTTATTAAAATAGGTCAACAAGTCAAAGGTTATTAAAATTGATATTGGATGAATTTACTAAATTACCCCTCTTTATCCTTAAAGCTTAAGGAATCCCTTTTATATTGGAAGACCATCTCATTTGAAAGAAGAAAAAAAGAATATTGGCTAGAGAGATAGAGGAAGGGAAAAACCTTGAAGCTTTGATCTCCATCTTCTTCAAGCTTAGATCTCAAAGCTATTGGAGTATTCTAGGTGAGTTTGACCTCCATATTTCACTCTTTGAGTTGGGTTTATCATTTGAGCCCTAAGATTGATGTTTGAAAATATTAGGGATTTTTGACAAGGGGATTTTGGCGAGCTAAATAGCTAAGATTTGGATGTTTTAGGTAAGTGATTAGCTCTTCTCTCCTTATTTTGTAAAACCCATAACTTATTATGGAATAATCTCCACTATTTTGAATACCCATTTTAGGGTTAGTATGAGTTAAAAATATTTTAGACTATGATATGTTTTTGGGTCTGAAATGCCCATATATATGGACGAATTAATTTGATAAAATAATTTGAATAGAAAACACATTATAAATTACACATCTCATTATTAATATAAAAGAATGTTATATATATATATATATATATATATATATATATATATATATCTGTGTGTGTGTGTGTGTGTGTGTGTTTAAAAAAATTATTAAAAACGTGACTTTATTGAAGTCATAGGGCAATGAGTAAAAATAATTGTAAATTTATATTAATGCCAAGACTTAAATCTTTGGCCTCACTATTGCTAAATATATGCTTTATTACCTAATCTAACTCACTTCTTGTTAACATTTTATAGTTTTTATATACTATTATTAAAACATGTGCTATATATATATATATATATATATATATATATATATATATATATATATATATATATATATATATATATATATACGGGAAAATGGCACTTTTTCCCCCTGAGTTACATACTTATAGCACTTTTTCCCCCTCAATTATTTAGGTAAGCACATTAGCCCCCTCAATTATTATAAAAGTGGTGGTTTTTTCCCCTGATATATTAAAATGACATTTCTACCCTTAAAGTAAATATTTTATTTATTTTACTTCTCCAACAAATTATTGCGTATACGTAGGGATGACCACGGTTCGGTTCGAACTGCACCGGACACTAAAGCAATCGAATTAAAAATTTTCGGTTATGATTCAGATCTATAACCCAACATTTGGATTTCAATTTATTAAAATTATGAATCAAACAAATTGGATCCTGAACGGCTGAACCGTGAACCGGGGGTTCCAGATCCGGTTCGCGATTTTGAACCGTCTTTATTTTAAATTTTTGTTTTTTATTTTAAAATAGTCTAAATTCAACAATAAATTTATTTTATTTTTTCAGTTCGGAACATGAACCGTCCGTTCCGGTTCGCGATTTAGTAAACTTTAAATATCGGGTTTCGATTCTAAATTGTAATTGGAATATTTCGATTTGGTTGCTATAGTGTTTGTTTGGTTTGAATCAAATTATGGTCATAATTTGTTGGAGAAGAAAAATAAATAAAATATTTATTTTAAATATTTATTTTAAGGGTAAATATGTCCATTTAACATTTCAGGGGGAAAAACAACCACTTCAATAACTGAGGGGGGAAAAGTGCTATAGGTATATAACTCAGGAGGAAAAAGTGTCATTTTCCCTATATATACATACAAAGACTATATATGGGGTCAGTCGTTATATTATAGACCGCGGTGCATGTGCACCGCGGTCAAAAACGGCGCCGTTTCTTTAAGTAAAGAAACGGCCCGCCGTTAGAGTTAACGGAGTCCGCTTGTTTGGTGTATTAAACACCAACTGATACTATAGTATATCTAAACCGACACTGCAGTTATATCAAAATGATACTGTAGTTATAGTGAAATGAAACTGCAGTGTATATAAAATGAAACTGAATAACATTTCACATATTTGAGTGTATATTGTACAATGAAGCTGTAATTATATCAAAATGATCATGTAGTTGTGTTTTAATGAAACTATAGTGTATATAAAATAAAATTAAATAACACTTTCACATATTTGAGTCTATAAATATCGAATGAAACTATAGTTATATCGAAATGAAACTGTAGTTGTGTTGAACCGAAACTGCAATGTATACAAAATGACACTGAATAACAGAGTTACTTTTTGCAAAAGGGTGCGAAACGGCGAAAACTAACACTGTTTATTTTCATTTAAAAAAAAAAGACGCTCGGTGCATAATATAATTTGCCATATGGGGTGGGGTGGGGGTGAGGCCTTTGGCTCCGTCCTGTATATATAAAGAAAAGAAATATAAAGATATAGAGATTATACTAAACATTCGAATTTAACGTTAAATATTCATAAAATCATAGTAATTCAATTTCTTTGGAAAAAGAGCCATTTTGGGAGTTGCGTATCTTGGTCACCAAGCTCCGCTCCCCACGTATAACAATCTCATCATCAACTCCGTATGTGAAGAAGAACAGATAAAGAAGAGAAGAAATAAAGTTGCTGCGATTCAAGATTGTTACTTTCTTGATAACCATGGCGACAAGGAGGCCTTTGCAGTCTGTCTTGAGCAGATTAGGAAGCGTTCGGAATTTCTGTAGCGCCCAACCTCAACCAAATTCAGCTTCCTCTTCTCAACACCTCATTAGCTTGGAGTCTGAGTGCAGTGCTCACAAGTACTATTTCTTTCTTCACATACATAAACCCATATATATATATGTGTGTGTGTGTGTAATTTATGCTTCTTTTTCATTTCTGGGTGTGGTTAATTTTACTGATAGTTTCCAATTTGCCAATTTTAAGCTTTACTGTGAATCTCATTGTTTATTTCATACTTTAGTCTCTGATTTGTTTGTTTGTTTTATTTATTTTTTCTTTACTTGTTCAGTCTTGAGTAGATATTTGCAGGCTGGATAGTGTAGTTGAACTTCAGTAATTTGGGTGTTTGAAATGAATTTATGCTTTAGCAAGTCCCACTATTTTCTGTAATTTTCTTTTGTTCATTATAGTTTTTTTTTTTTTTTTTAAATTTTATAATCAACTTAGCTGCCAAAGATAATGGGATAAAGTGATAAATTAAATTTTAGATTGTGTTAACCATGAGCTAGTATGGTGCAAAATCAAGGCATGATATACATTTAAAATCGGTTATATAACACGATTTATGGTTTTAAAGAAAGTGACAAAGAATTTGATACGATTTATGGTTTTAAAGAAAGTAACAAAGCATTTGTGATTGTATTGCAGTTACCATCCAATTCCCATTGTTTTTTCTCGGGCAAAAGGATCATCTGTCTGGGATCCAGAAGGGAACGTGTATCTGGACTTCCTCTCAGCTTATTCTGCTGTCAATCAGGTTAAAAGGAAAAGAGAGGCAGAGGATGCGGTTTATAGATCCTATTAGAAGATTGCCCTTATAATGTGAAATTAGAAGTTGAAAGATTTTTAGCGTACTTTGTTTATTGCTCAAAAGTTGAAAGAGTCTTAAGTTAATATCTTTTACTTTTGCAGGGGCATTGTCATCCCAGGATCATGAAAGCACTAGTGGAACAGGCTGAAAATCTCACTCTTAGTTCAAGAGCATTTTATAATGACAAATTTCCAGTATTTGCCGAACGCCTTACCAGCATGTTTGGATATGACATGGCACTACCAATGAATACTGGTGCAGAAGGAGTCGAGACAGCTTTGAAGTTGTCGAAGAAATGGGGATACATTAAGAAAGGAATACCGAAAGATGAGGTAAGGATTTAGTCTTCCTATGCTAGTTCATATTAATTTATATTATATTATATATATATATATATATATATATATATATATATATATATATATATTATTTTTAATGCTTAGAATTAAAACTTCTTCAAGCTTTTGGTTTATATTTGGTAAAGTGGAGGTGGAGGGAGGCTTAGTTTCAGGATTCACTATTAATCACTTTGTTTCTCCTAAGGTGCTTGTTAGAAAGGATAGTAAAATGGCTGATTCTTTGACATATAATTGCCTCTAAATACTATTTTATGTGAACATGCATAGCTCTCTTGAAAAGGATATACTTAACTCTCTGAAATTGAAATAGTCTTTTATGCTATTTTTGCTTTTGAAAACCCCCACAAATACAAAGATTATGAAGAAGTTGAAAAGTAAGGTCACTTGAGAAGGATATCATGTTTCTCGGAGAGGGGTATAATTTAAGTTTGAGGAAGCAAGATTAGAATTAGTTTCCTCGGAGAATCTTTCCCGGGGGATTGGTTTGCACATTGAACTTTTAATCCATATATTTTAGAGTGATCAAGTTGTTGATTTAACTTTGGTATGTGAAGGCTATAATTGTCTCGTGTTGTGGTTGCTTCCATGGACGTACACTGGCTGCTATATCCATGAGCTGTGACAACGAGGCAACTCGTGGATTTTGGCCCTTGTTGCCCGGCAATCTTAAAGTTGATTTTGGTGATGCAGCTGCACTCGAGAGGGTATTTAAGGGTACGCACTATGCAAATATGTGTCTTTAGAGTTATGTTTAATTTATAACAGTAAGCTTGGTGCCGGTATAGAAACCAGTCTTGTGAATTCTTTGCTGTCTGCAAACATTGATGTTCCTATTTATTCCTTAATTCTTGTTGTTTCCAGAGAAAGGCGATCGGATTGCTGGTTTTTTGTTTGAACCCATCCAAGGAGAGGCAGGGGTATAGCATATTCCTCTACTAAACCGACCATTTGATAAGTACTTATATATGGAGTAATATTAACCAGCCTGGTTGGCGTGAGTGGCTGTCCACTCTCCTCCCTTAAGAGAGGTCGGAGTTCGAACCCCCTCTCGTATGGAAAAATCAATCTGGCCAGCACTTTGTCCCTTAATTGGCCTGGCTCGGTGCAAATGGGGATTAGTCTGAGTATGGTACGGGCTTAAGGTGCCTCCTACAGTTAGGGCCTGCTCAGGACACCTCGTGGTCTGACCAAAAAAAATATATGGAGTAATATTTGACATGATAAGTTGTTTCTCCCTTCCCCGATGTCAACCACCATTGCAGAAAGATTCCATTAACATCTATCTTTGTTTGAGAAACCGCTTGAAAGGGGTTTCCATTATGTATTATGTGCTTTTATATAATTTATATTTTCCATCCAGGTTATAATTCCCCCGGATGGCTATCTGAAAACTGTTAGAGATCTTTGCTCGAAATTTAATATTCTAATGATTGCTGATGAGATACAAAGTGGGCTAGCCCGATCTGGAAGAATGCTGGCCTGTGATTGGGAAGGGGTCCGCCCTGATGTCATAGTAAGCACTTCTGTTTGATTCTGAAAAATTCGAAAACCCATATGTGGACTAACTTTTCCACAGACCCTCGTTATGCTTCATTACCGTCTTCTAAAACATCCATTGATCAATAATAATTGATGTCACAGAACCGCACTCATGATTGAGTATTCTTTGCGTTTTCTGAACTCCAAAGTTTTGTTGTGTGCAGATATTGGGAAAAGCGTTGGGTGGTGGAGTGTTACCTGTAAGTGCAGTGCTAGCAGACAAAGATGTTATGCTTTGTATTCAGCCCGGAGAGCATGGAAGGTAATCAATTATTATTATTTTTTCTTAATTATATTAACCTGCAATTTTACTCTTCCAAAACACTCTACGAGAGTTTTAATTGAGTTAATCCATTTCTTCATCCTCTATAACAGTACTTTCGGGGGGAATCCTTTGGCCAGCGCTGTTGGCATTGCGTCTCTAGACGTGATAAGAGATGAAGGACTTGCAGAGAGGTATTAAATTCTTTGCATATTGAGTCCCTTTTGAATGAATTATAAAGAACTTATTGAAGAGCTAATTGTTTTGGTTGAAAGAGTGCTATGATACAATGCGTATTGATGACAGATCTGCTGAGATGGGAGAGCAGCTGAGGCAGCAGCTAACGAAGATTCAGCAGCGGTTTCCTGAAATCATAAAGGAAATTCGAGGAAGAGGGTTGTTCAACGCGGTAGAGCTGAACAGCAAGGCCTTGTTTCCCGTGACTGCTTACGACGTATGCCTAAAGCTGAAGGAGAGAGGGATTCTTGCCAAGCCAACTCATGATACTATAATACGTTTGACGCCCCCTCTTTCAATGAGGTATGCTGTAATATTACCCAGTGTTGTAAAAATCGGCCTAGGCGGCCGCCTAGGCGCCCCTAGGCCGAGGCAATTTCAGTCCGAGGCGGTTTTAGTTGGTTGGCCGACTAACTGGCCAACTAGGCGCCGAGTTGGGCGCCTAACTCCGCCTAGTTGGCGCCCAACTAGGTTGAGTCGGCGCCTAACTCCGCCTAGTTGGCGCCCAACTAGGTTGAGCCGGCGCCTAACTCCGCCTAGTTGGCGCCCAACTAGGTTGAGTCGGCGCCTAACTTGGCCGAGTGGTATTTTTTGCCTGTTCGATTATTCATCTTTTATATTCCTCCAGCCATAACTCACAACCCTGAGTGGGAAAAGTGGAGACAATATACTCAAATTACTCGACCGGCTAGGAGCCTTCTGCAACATTGATATTACCTGCTTCCATAATGTTATATTCTAAGGTTGGGCTAAGGTCGCTCATCTGGGCTATGCGTATGGGCCAAACCACACTAAAATATTAAATCCAATCAATTATCTAGTCTAACCCATGACCTTATAAGGCCATATGTTTTCTCCTATATTTCAATTTGGAACTCTTAACACATAGAATATCTGAATATGACTCCTCTTTCATCGCTCTATTCCATTCCCTACTTGTTTCATGAACCAAACGTTCTGAAACCAAACATGCTAATAAATGTTTCATTTTAATACAATCCCGCATTTAGACTCCTAACCTGGCTGTGTTATTTGCAGTGACCATGAGCTTCGGCAAGGCTCAGAGGCATTGCACGACGTTTTGGAGCTCGATCTACCAAAGATGCAGAAAGAAAAGCCAATGACGCAATCCCATGCTGCATCTGTAAATGTATGTGACCGGTGTGGGCGCAATTTGTAATCTGCTGTGAATGATGTGAGTCATAAGAATTGCAAGAATGTGGATTACAATAAAAAAGGAGGATGGGAAAAAGAGTTACAACTCCTTTGAATGGGGTGTATTAGTGAAGAAAATTAGGTTGCCTAGACCAGTACATTTGAAAAATCTGTTGTATTTTGCCCCATGTTGACATGTGAAGAAAATTACTATTCTTGTGTTCAGAACCCCCTAACAAAGTTGGTTAAACAATTAGCTTGATAACTGCTCAAGTTCGACTCTCTGTGGGAGCGGTCTATTGGTCATTTTGATTTGTGTTGGTCAGCTATGAGTAACTTAGACTGATTTACCTTATTGTGTTTCTTTACCAGCTAGGATCATTAGGTGGGCTCTAACCAGAGCGCATCTTTGGGTAGTGACTATTAGGACTCTATTATCATTAGTATTTGTTATCTATTGTTACTAGTATTCGTCTTGTATTAGGTTTACTATTCGCTACTATATATATTCCTGTACAGACTTATTATTTGATCATTCAGAAATATTATATCCTCATCTGGTATCAGAGTCAGGTTTTATTATTTTTTTTTTTATTTTTTTTTTCTCTCTCTATGGCGCACCTCGGTTCTGATGGCGGTTCTGTTGGAAGTTCTGAACGGACTGTTTCTGAGGCCGCGCTTGTGGCACCCCTGCAGTCCGGAGTGTCGTTTTCTTCGGCTCATCACTTCGTTTCCATCAAGTTGACATCTCGCAATTTTTTATTCTGGCGTACTCAGCTTCTTCCGTTCCTGGATGGTCAAGGGTTGTTGGGTTTTGTCGATGGAACGTCCGTGTGCCCTCCGTTTACTGCCCTTACTGTACCGCCTGCCGAGGGGGATGCTGCCGCCGTGACCTCGTCGGCTTTGTCGTCCGCCGCTCGGAGTGCATGGCTTCGTAAAGATAAGGCCGTGCTCTCCTTGTTGATCTCGTCCTTGTCCGACGAGATGATGCATCTCGCCATTGGTAAAACCTCTTCTCGGCACTTGTGGGTGGCGATCGAGCAGGTTCTCGGTTCGACGACCCGGGCCCGTGCCCTTCAGTTGGTGGGCGAGTTGCAAGGATTGCAGCAGGGGGATGCTTCGATCCCGGATTATCTTGGTCGTGCTCAGGTGCTTATTGAGGACTTGGCACTTGCCGGACGCCCGGTGACGCTGGAAGATCAGAATATGTACATATTCCGGGGCTTGCGGTCCGAATATCGCCCTTTGGTGGCGTCGCTAACGAGGGGTGCTCCGGTGTCTCTACCCGAGTTATCCGATTTTCTTGTTTCGCAGGCTTTTATATGTGCTGATGATGGTGGTGACGTTGCTGCTGCTCCGGTCGCCATGGCGGCTCAGCGAGGTGGAGGTCGCTCGGGCGGGCAGCAGCGTGGCAGCGGCAACCGAAGCCGCGGTCGCGGCAAAGGACGAGGTCGCGGTCGTAGTGGCGCCGGGGCTGTCCAGTGCCAGATTTGTTCCGGCGAAGGTCACTCGGCCGCTTCGTGCTATCGCCGGTATGATAGCGCCCCAGGGCCGCGGGCGCACGTTGCATATTCCGGTGGTGATACGACTTCGGTTAATACTCAGCAGTGGTTTCCTGACACTGGTGCATCGAATCATGCCACTCCGGATCCATCTTTGATGTCCTCGGCGGTCTCCTATAATGGTCCGGATCATCTTCGGGTTGGTGACGGTAAGTGTTTACCTATTGTTAGTACTGGTTCATCTTCGGTAGCCGCTTCTAAAACACTGTTTCGGTTGTCTGATGTTCTTTATGTTCCTGGGCTCTCTGCGTCTTTATTGTCTGTGCAACGGTTTGCTCGTGATAATAATGTCTTTTTTGAGTTTCACCCTGATTGTTTCTTTGTGAAGGATCGTTCAACCAGGGAAGTTCTGTATAGAGGACCGGCTTCGGGAGGTCTCTATTCTTGGCCTGTCTCTCGTTCAAGTCCCGCTGCGTTTGTGGCCTCTCGTGTCTCCTCTGAGGTGTGGCATGGTCGGTTGGGTCACCCTCATCCGCGTGTCTTGCGGCAGATATTAAATTCGTGTTCTATTCAGTCTAGTTTTAGTGATAGTTCGGAGTTGTGTCGTGCTTGTATGCTTGGGAAATCCTCACGGTTTCCCTTGCCTCGTGTCAATACTACTACGTCGCATGTTTTAGAGCTTATATATACTGATATTTGGGGCCCAGCGCCTTTTCTTTCTGTCAATGGCTTTCGTTATTTTGTTTTGTTTGTTGATGACTACACACGCTATGTATGGTTTTATCCTATGCGTTTGAAAACTGATGTGTATGCTATCTTCGAGCAGTTTCGGTCACTAGTTGAGCGTTCATATGGTCGTAAGATTGTCTCTATTCAATCCGATTTAGGGGGAGAGTATAAACGGTTGCACCGTACTTTTGTCTCTTTGGGCATTAATCATAGGCAATCTTGTGCCTATACCCATGAGCAGAATGGTAGAGTTGAGCGTCGGCATCGTCACGTTGTGGAAACGGGTTTGGCCCTCTTGGCCCAGGCTTCGGTTCCACAACGATATTGGGATTATGCCTTTGAGACTGCGGTCTATCTCATTAATAAGATGCCAACTCGCGTTTTGGATAATGATAGTCCTCATTATCGTTTGCATCGCTCTAGTCCTTCGTATTCTTTCTTGCGTGTGTTTGGCTGTCTCTGTTATCCTCTGTTGCGCCCGTATAATCGTAACAAGTTACAGTATCGGTCTTCTCCGTGTGTGTTTCTTGGTTATCCGCCTTCGTTTCGTGGCTATCGTTGTTTTGATCTTGCTACTAACAAGGTATTCATTTGCCGCCATGTGCGGTTTGATGAAACCGTTTTTTCCGTTTGCTTCTTCTGTACCTTCTCAGGTCTCTCGCTCTCGCCCGGTTGAGCCGTGGGGTGTTGGCGCCGTTCAGGTTGGCGCGAGCTCCGGTGTTTGCCCTGCTGGGCCGGATCCTCGTCCGGACATGGACACGGATTCCGGGGCTGCTGGTGCTGCTTCTGATTCCCGCACCGAGACTGCCGTGGCTCCGGATGTGGCAGTCCCGGGTGCCCCTAAGGCGTCCAAGCGATGTCGCCGCACGGTGAAACCGGTTCCGCCTCGGTCTCATGTTATGGCAACTCGTTCTTTGGGACCGGCGCAACATGTGGCACTAATGACTGTCTCTGAGCCGACTTGTTATTCTCAGGAAGTTCGGTATCCGGAATGGCGTGAGGCCATGGATCTTGAGTTTAATGCCTTGCTTCAGAATCACACTTGGCGTCTGGTTAGTCGCACGCCTGGCATGAATGTTGTGGGGTGCAAATGGGTGTTCAGGACGAAGCGCAAGGCTGATGGCACAATTGAGCGGCACAAGGCTCGATTGGTGGCTAAGGGGTTCAATCAAGTCGCAGGACAGGATTTTTTTGAGACTTTCAGTCCCGTTGTAAAACCCACAACCGTGCGACTTCTCCTCTCCTTGGCCGTCTCTCGCGGTTGGGTAATTCGGCAGTTGGATGTTCACAACGCCTTTCTTAATGGTACTCTTGCCGAGACAGTCTACATGCGACAGCCGCCTGGCTATGAGGACCCGTCACGGCCGGATGATGTGTGCTTATTACAGAGGTCGCTCTATGGTCTTAAGCAGGCTCCTCGCGCATGGTTTAACAGGTTACATGCTTTCTTGGCGTCGGTTGGTTTTTCACCTTCCAAGACTGACGTTTCTTTATTCATATACACTCGTGACTCTGTATCTTTATATGTGCTTCTATATGTTGATGATATCCTTGTTATGGGATCTGATGCTTCGCGTGTTACTCGGCTTCTGACTGACTTAGCCTCGGAGTTCAAGATTCGTGACATGGGTGCTCCGTCTTTTTTTCTGGGCATTGAGACGGTCTCCCGTGATGGTGGTTTGTTTCTTTCTCAACAGCGATACATGCGAGATATATTGAGTCGTGCAGGTATGGTGGACTGTAAACCGTTGGCTACTCCGGTGCCTGTGACTCGACCCGTTTCTGAATCTGTGGTTCCCTATGCCGATCCCACGCAGTATCGCAGTCTTGCTGGGGCTCTGCAGTATCTTACTGTCACTCGCCCGGATTTATCTTTTGCTGTGAATCGGGTCTGTCAGCATATGCACTCTCCGACTACTGAGCATTGGGCAATGCTCAAACGTGTTCTACGGTACGTTAAAGGAACTTTGCATTTTGGTCTTTTTATTCGCCCGTCCTCCTTTGTTGCGGTTCATGCTTTTTCGGATTCGGACTGGGCTGGTGATCCGGCTGACAGAAAGTCTACTAGCGGCTTTGCAGTATTTCTTGGTGGCAATCTGATTTCTTGGTCTTGCCGGAAGCAACATACGGTTGCTCGTTCGTCTACAGAGGCTGAGTACAAGGCACTGGCTGACGTGTCTGCTGAGGTCACCTGGTTGGTTTCTCTGTTGCATGAACTTCGGTTGCCGTTGTCAGCTCCTCCCACTCTCTGGTGTGATAATCTGGGTGCAACCTATCTCTGTTTCAACCCGGTGTTCCATGCTCGTACGAAACATGTGGAAATTGACTATCACTTTGTTCGTGACAAAGTGGCAAAGAAGGAGTTGCAAGTTAGTTTCATTTCTACAAAGGATCAGCTGGCTGATGTGTTCACTAAAGCTCTCCCCGGTCCACGTTTCTCCACTCTGTGTGGCAAGCTCAATGTTGTTGCTGGTCCACCTTGTACTTGAGGGGGAGTATTAGGACTCTATTATCATTAGTATTTGTTATCTATTGTTACTAGTATTCGTCTTGTATTAGGTTTACTATTCGCTACTATATATATTCCTGTACAGACTTATTATTTGATCATTCAGAAATATTATATCCTCATCGTGACATATGAGGTGTGGGAGTTGTTTATTGGTTTTCTTGGTTTGAGCTGATCAGTCATGAGCAACTTAGACTGATTTACCTCCTTACGGTCCTTTGCTGATTAAGATTATAAGACGGGCTGTCCCCAGAGCGCATCAATAGATGAGGTGAGGAGCAGTATGTTTGTGACTGTCACATGACTCCAGAAATGGGTGTCTGAATTGTGTTAAAACATGTCTTGGCCACCTTTTTCTTGTGGTCCATGTCTAGTTTTCTGTGTCAACATGGTTGATGCTCTTTCAACTTCAATTCAACATTGTTGTCTCCAAACCACAGGGCTACTCCCTACTCAAAGCTTTCACTTTAGCTCTACCTTCTACTTTCAATCCTCTCTATCTGTTTCAAGATGCATGGAAATTCATCATATATCTACTGTATATCTGTCTATCCATGTTGTGAGAGATCTTTTTAATCAATTAATAAAAATGCACACTCTCTGATACACTACAGTGATTTAAATTGTTTTGGGCAGGGAGTGAAGCAAGTGGGCAAGCATGTTGCTTGCTGCTATTTCAAATCAGGGAGGCAAGAAATGTATTATTGTCTCATTGTCTAGGGCTTGTAGCTTTTAGACATGACTCATCTTCTACTTCTCTTTTTGGACTCATTTATATTTCAACTCCAAGATTTTTTTGGGGGAAATGTACAGGAATACAAGTAGGTGAGATGTCTTTTGATTACTCATTTGTGCAGGCTTATTATATTTTAATTATGGTTGAAAAAATCGCTAGGCGTTCCTCCCTAGGCGCCAATTTATTTTTTTAATTTTAAAAAATATGTTTTAATTTTTTTTTTATATATAAATAGACTAGTAATTATAAATTATTTAATACTTCAATAGTTAATACTAAAATATTAACATAAAAAACATAAAGTTTGAACAATTTAGCGTTATTTCGCTCAAAACAATGTCGTTTTGAGTGAAATAACCCATTTTTTTTTTTAAAAAAGAACAATAGCTAATCGGCCCACTAGGCGGCCTAATTGGTGCCTAGGGGCAAATTATGCCCTGGACCCGTGTCCACATTGAATTGTGGACACGGGCCCAAAACAACGTCGTTTTAAAAAAAAACGCGTCATTTAGTTAAAAAAAAAAAAAAATTCGCGCGCGTTTTGTCGTTAACGGCATTAACGGAGTTATTTTTTTTTTTTGGATTATGAATGTACAGTTATGCCGTTATGAATGTACAGTTATGCCGTTATGAATATACAGTTATGCAATTATGAAATTATGAACACAGAGCTCTAACATTATGAACTTACAATTATGAACATATATAGTGATAAAATTATGACCATGGAGCTTTAAAATTGTGAATATAGAGCTTCGAAGATTATGAATGTACAGTTATGGAGTTATGAATGTACAGTTATAGAGTTATGAATCTACAGTTATGGAGTTATGAATCTACAGTTATGAGATTATGAATCTACAGTATGGAATTATGAATGTACAGTTATTGATCAAATTACGAACAAAGAGCTCTAACATTATGAACTTACAATTATGAACATATAGTGATAAAATTATGAACATAGAGCTCTAAAATTGTGAACATAGAGCTTCGAAAATTATGAATGTACAATTATGGAGTTATGAATGTACAGTTATGGAGTTATGAATGTACAGTTATAGAGTTATGAACGTACAGTTATGGAGTTATGAATGTATAGTTATTAACATATAGTAATAAAATTATGAACATATACTCTTACAATGAAGCGGTCTGAATTTTTTTTTAAAAAAAAAAAAAAAAAAAGGAGATAACAGTGCCTAACGGCACTGTTACCCGTGTCCAGCAAGCATGCTGGACACGGGTCCAACGCATAATGATTGGTGCCTAGGAGGCCTAGGCGGCTTAGTCAGCTGCCTAAATCACCGATTTTGGTGATACGCTAGGCGGCTGGCCGGCGCCTAGCGCCTAGGCGTCGAATAATTGGCACCTAGGCGGGATTAGTCAAATTTCATTGTCTCAACTCCCGGGCGATTGCACATCTGGGCGATTGCCTTTGCGGATCCAAACGCGCTCACAAGGCGCAAACACGACGAAAAAGGTAGCCGAACCACCTCTTGATCTTGTGCAGAAAGAGAGCAAGCCAAAAATTCTAAAGTGTGAAATAAACCCTGGCTGTTTTTCTTGAAGATGTCCAGAGTTCTCCAATTTTACATATTTCTGCCAAATCCTTCTATTATTAAGTACGGCGGGTACATTTCGATGTGTCTCGAGAGTGGATGGTTGATCGCTGCCTCCTTGTCCTGGAGGCTCTCCGGCCTTTTTGATTTTTGCCTATGATGGCATGCCTGCTGTTACTTCACTCGGTCAATGGAAGTTCATCGACCTAAGGCAGCTGTGAGTCCCAGCGAACCCTTGACCCTGAAGCCCCCTTAGCTCTGCCAGGCACTGGACAGGGGTTAGCTTTGTAAAATGTGATGTTGTACCTGGTCGTTTAAATCAGACCTCTATTTCGGGTGCAACACTGATTTTGATACAAATTCATTTTAGTATACCGTTGATTTATTTTTGGACTAGGGTCCATCTTGCATGACAGATCCATAATTTGTCAAGAATTTTGTAAAATTTTGTTGCTCATATTAGGTGGGCAAATTATATTGTGGATTATGAATAAATATTTGTTTTTAATATATTGAATGTACAGTATTTGTATATTGAAGGTTCATTATTTTGTATACTATCAAATAATGAATCTTTTGTATTCAAATAATGTATATTCAAAAAATCAACAAAGTGTATTAAAAATGTACTTGTTAGTAGAGTCCATGACATAATGATTGCATTAGGTGGAAGTGTGAAAGAGCAGACAAATTTTATTTTGGACCATCTAATCTAATCTAATCTAACTCTATAATAAAGCAATAACTTGCTACCAGGACTATGTGGTCTAATGGTACCCGAGTTGGACTTTCATTTAGAAGGTTGTGAGATTGAGCCTCAGTGAAAGTGTTACTGGCTCTTTGTGTTTCAATAGGTTGAGTAGATACTACAATCTAATAGAGCCAGTAGCCTTCAAAAAAAAAAAAAAAGCAATAACTTGCTTCCGTTTTGGGAGTGAAGATTATAGGTGTGATTTTAATGCTGTTTACATTGGGTTGTTTCTAACTTTCTATCTAGGAGGCTTAGCCGAAATTATTTTTGCTTTGTACAATAAATTTTTATTGCTTTGTAATACCAATGCAAGTATAGCCGGCTAATTAAATGTCTATTCATTTCCCAAGCATAAATTTATAAACTAACCTGCAAAAATAAAAATTCAAATCCTATGATTTTGATTATAAATAAATGAGATAATAAAATTAAAATTCAAATAAAGACGCATTCAAAAAAAAAAAAAAAAAATTCAAATAAAGACAACATTTAATAAAAGCTTTGATTTCCAATATTGTGGCTGTTCTTGAAAATTGTTCAAGAGCAGGCATGGAATATTTAACAGCCTATAAAAGGCTTCCTTCATAGACCTCTCTCAGCCACATTTCACATTCCAGTAGCAGCCACAATATTGCATCATGCCTTCCATGTTTGTTCCTGTCAAAGAAATCCAACCTGTACACAAGATGAGAGCAATAAGGGTATGAGATGTCAGGGTTTATGAAGTTCCTGAAATTAGGGAAAGCAAGAGGTAATCTTTTTTTTTTTTTTTTTTTTTTTTTTTTTTTTTTTTTTAATTTTTTTTACAGCATTTTCTATCATAAGCAATCTCTATTTTTTTGTTACTGCATTTTCTTCCCTAAGCAATCTATAAAGTTATTTTTTTACTGCTCATTTCTTGCTTTCCCTGATGAAATTGCTTAGGTGGATAGTAGGATCGTTCCAGATCCAGTAATAGATGGTAGGAACTTAGATGTAAAAGTTTAACTAGAAAGTAATATTTTACATCAAGTTAAATGTTGAAATACACGAGATAATTAAGAAGATAAATCATCATACTCCATCTCAGTAGGCAGTACGCATCTTGAGATTCACCTGTCACAACTTGAAAACTTTCTGTGGATCAATTAGCTAAACAGCTTGAAAACATAGAAGCATGTATATAAACAGCTATGGTGTCAAGAATCAATTAATATGAACACATACTCAGTAATAGAATTTCGGACTGTGGATCACATATCGGTTAAAGTCTGCTAGGAGCAATTCATTACTTCAAAAAAGAAAAAAAAAACTATATTAAGGGTTGTGTGCATCTGGAATTCCAAACCATGCAAAAAAAAAAAACACTATATTTACCGGTGATAATGTTTGTAAGTTGGACTCAGCTAGCGGTATTTTAGGAGAAGTCCACACTCTAGAGTTTCTTAATGGGTTGCGTGCATATGAAATCCCAAACCATGCATAAACTTTGAAAGTTGGATCATCGGTAATTTTGTTCCGCAATATGGATCACTCATTGGGTTTATGTAATGGTACAAGATTGGTCATTACAATATTGTCCGAGCATGTTATTGAGGCTAAAATAATGACGGGTGACAATGCCAGGAGTTCGGTGTTGATACCAATGATGTCTATGACTCCATCAGATACAAGATTGCCTTTGAAATTTCAAAGGAGACAGTTCCCATTAATGTTGTCATAAACAATGACAATAAATAAAAGTCAAGGTTAGACACTATCTCATGTTAGGTTACTCTCAAAGAAATCAGTGTTTGTACATGACTAATTGTATGTTACTGCGTCTAGAGTTAGTAATCCTAATGGTCTAAAGATTCTAATTTGTAATGAGCTTAACAAGAGTGGTACATGGCCAATTGTATGTTGTGTACCATGAAGTTTTAATTAATTTGTAAATAAATTACCAATTGAAATTTAATCATTTCTTATGTGTCAATTGCAGTATACTTAAAAAAAGTGTTTAACATACATGTAATATATGTATTTTACATCCTAACATCTTGCACAATCATTTAGTTTAAAACAATAACAATATCTAAAATTAAATTATAATTTATTGACAGTGCATCGCACGGGTACCATACTAGTATATATGTACACACACACATATATATATATATATATATATATATATATATATATATATAATATAATATAATATAATATAATATATTACGTATTGTACATACTAATATATTTGTTGGCATATGTAAATTCCCAAATGAATTGTGGAGAGTGTGGTGTGTTGATAATGTGTGTGGACAATATCGAATTAAGTAGAATATTAAGGAAAATGTGTGAAAATGAACAATTGGAAACGCATGAATTAGTACGTCTGTGCATGTGTAAGGGAATGCATGAAGGCATGATGATATTGTTGTGGGTAATGTAAATGAGTGGATTAATTATGAATGAATGGGAGAAGATTAAGGAAATGCATCATGGGACTATGTGGGTTACATGCAGCGCAAATCAAGGTAGAAAAATACTATAAATAAATGTTACAGTGTTGAAAGGAAAATGAAGTTTCCAAAAATAAAAAAAAAAGGCAATACTATTTTGGAAGGTGCTACAATTGGAATTATTCGAAAGACGCTACAAGGGAACTTTAGACTAGAAAGGATTGGTGTACTATCTGGAGAATTCAGCTCCACTTTATTCAGTACAAGCTGTGTTAAAATTCAGGTTGGTTATAGTTTGTTGAATTGGCAGAATTAGTTCAAACTGTATTGTATACTTTTTCATAGAGTTGTTTTTATAAGGTCAATGTATAAATACGTGGTAGACCTAGTTTTGTAATTCATTGAGCCTTGTAATTGTAAAAACGGTGGGTTGATCTTGTGTGAAAAAGTTTTTGAGCTTGGCCCGGCAGATTAGGAGGTGTTCTCCAACTGCGTTAAAAAATTCAGCTGTGTACGTAGTTTGTCGCTTCATTTATTCTTACATATAACATTGCATATCTATATTACATATTTACAATTGGTATTAGAGCAGTGTCGCTCAATTTGCTAGCGAGATCCTAGGGATACTCGAGTATTGTTTTGCAGCATGGAAAAGGGTGCTTCGATGACAAGACCACCATTGTTGAAATGAGTGAGCAACTATGCCTATTGGAAGGCTAGAATGAAGATCTTTATAAAATATCTAGATGAAGAATGCTGCGATGCCGTGGAAAATGCTTGGACCCCACCAACAATGACAGTAATGCCCTAAAATTTTAAACTTTGAATGCTTATGAAATAAAGGTAATACTATCATTAAATCGCAAAACAGAGCATAACTAAACATAATTGTTGGGGTGCTATGCCACATTTGAGCTGGAGAACTCAGATTCACAGGCTAAACTATCTAAACATCATAAATCCTCAAATCAATGTCAAGTACATCATCATGGCACGCAGGCCGATAATGAACTAAACTAGTTAAGCCTCGGGACCAACTAGCGCGCTCCGGAGCTACTCATCTGTGCCTGAAAGACAAATATATTTGTTCAGCGAATAATGCTGGTAACCCACTCCAACGCGTTAAAATACAATATAGGTAGATATATATATATATATATATATATATATATATATATATATATATATATATATATATATATATATATATATATATATGGAAAACCATTTTGAAGCCGGAATACATATATACTTATGAGACGCTAACTTAAAACCGAGAGTAGACTCAACAAGTAAGGGTAGGCACATTCATCAGACATAATCACGTATATAAAGATACTAGCATACACCCTAAGGTCACAAGACTATTTCACATCAATCATATCAGTATTTAATCATTATTTCAATCACGTATACACATTTGGTGCCGCAGGACCCTTCACGCGCCCATACACGAAGTGCCAGCGCATATAGCTCTAGCATGACCCTGAAGCACCCTGCCTGTACCGCAGCACAAGGAGATTGATCGCAACCAATCGATGAACCGCAGCTCATTTATAACGTTTGATCGCAACCAAACGGTGGACCGCAACCCGAATAGTATGTATATCTGATCGCAACCAGATTATGGACCGCAGCCCAATATATATATAACCGACCAATCGCAACCGGTCGGGTTAACAGCTGATGGTTCTCAACCCATCCAACTGCCTGTATAGCCAATTGATCGCAACCAATTGGGGTATCATGCACAAATAACACATAGCCAAGCACATGCAACCCACATTAACACATAAGGAGGGGGGAATCATACATATATACCTATGCATGGTCAACCACATTACTAGAGATACGCCTAAGGGTTCATGCACCTTTCTCCTAGGCCAATGGGATACTAATTCGACTAGCATGCAATACACAAGACTCTTTTATCCTACGAACGGTACACGATACATCAAACTAGACTCAAACACGACAAGCGGGGTCCAATGGGACACCACGGGACACGGGGAAACATCAAACGGGGAAAACCACCATGTTCCACACCGGAATTCCAGCGGGTGGCCGGCGGGTGGAGGTCCACCCGCCGGCGGCAATCCACGAGGCAGCGGGTGCTCGACGGGCGGTCGCCTGCCCGCTGGCTGCCCACTGCCAGGCGTTCTCATGGGGCAGTGGGTAGGTGGCGGGTACCCCTGCCCCCACCTATACCCCTGCCCCCACCTACCCCCACTGACTCTTATGTAATAATTCGGTCCCGAGATCTCTCGTGGAACCCGAAACCATGTCCAGACACATTTAAATACAAACGACGACACCATATAATCAAGTAAAGGATTAAAAACAAGAATCACATTAAATACATCCTAACACAACTCCTAAACATGCCAAGACTCAATACCCGAACATGCAAAGTCCCACCCAAACATACCAAGAATATTACAATACGAAATCCACGTTTTGATCCTATGGCTCTAATCATAATTAAAACACAAGATCATTTATATAATTTATCTTGGAATCAAGAACATCAAGATTATCACATAAGCATCAAGATCAACACATAAACATCAAGATCATCTCATAAACATCAAGATTATCCCATAATCATCATATCAATCTTAGGCAAAGCCTTATCAAAACACAAGCATAGAATCACAAATCAAAGGAGCCAATGAAGAAGATTATAGCAAGGAAAATAGGTTTTGTTGAAACATGGGTTACCTATTAGCCTTAATTAGAATCCTTGGCTACTAAGGTTCTTTCTCTAAGATCTCCTCTTCGTGATTTCTCCTACGTTTGGTGCTAGGGGAATTCCTGAGAATTCTTGTGTGGTGGAATCTATTGTGGTGTGATTTCTAGGTGCCTCCTAGGTCCTTATATATACTTAAGAGTTCTAACTAGTGTCTGAATGGTAGGGATTTACTTATTCTATTCCTTATAGGACTAAGGGTTTGGTTTAGGGATAAGTGTCCATGATCCATGGTGGACCCTTCTCAATTAATTAAGAGAATTCAATTCTCTTTTTGTTAAAAAATATTTAATGTGTGGCTCAAATCCATTGGATTCCATGAAGACTTTTTTCCTGCATCTCCTCCGCGTCCACTGCCGCACATCTTCTCCGAATTGTGCTCTTCTTACATTATTGCCACTTTTTTTCTCTAATTTGTAATATATAAATAGCTAGCTTAGCTTTCTAATTCAATGCATCTCTTTTTACATCAATTCATTTTGAATACTGATGGGGTGAGGACCCCGACCCAAGAAGATGGGCCCAAGAGATGAGTCCAAGATAGGAGATATGGGGCAGTAACGAAAGAAGCCCAGTGGAGGCTTAGGCTGAGTCCAGGAATCGGCCCAGGCCCGAGCATTGGGAGAGACCCGGCCCCAAGCCGTTAGGAAGCATTCAAAGAGCCTCATTTAAGAGGACTCGGCCCAGAGAGCCGTTGAAGGATGTCCCACGTAGCATTTAAGTCAGTCCAGGAGCCGTTGGTGGCATTCAAAGCAGGCGTCCCGTAAGACTCGGCCAAGAAGGCTGTTTTAGAGTCCATAGAGCCGTTGGCCGACCCGGTAAACGGCACCCAACGGCTTTATAATTGTAATTAGCCTTGAAAGCGACAGTTAATATCCTTTAATTTGGCTAGAGGGGCGCCTACTATATAAAGGCCCCCCCACCCTTGTAATCGGGGCGAGTCCATGCCCAGTGAATAAGAAACACACACTCTAGCTATTATTTCGACTACTCTTCCTTTGCAAAAAGCTTTGTGAAAGGTGAATCCACCAACCAAGGTTGTGTTGGACCTTCCTGGGCCCGAAAACCCAAAAAGCAACACTGGCGCCGTCCGTGGGGATCGATACAAAGAGCTACGTGACTCTCTGAGTGGGGCGAGTCCCGAAGTCGACCGAAAAAAGTGTCACAAGCATGTCAGAAGGACGAGACCAAATGAATAACCGCGATAATGGAGTGGAAGCAGATCTGAGAGATCAGTCAAACCAACGAAACGCCCAAAGTCAGGAAAACGAGACGGCACCGGTAAACCGGCAGCCACCTATGATACCCCTCACCCCGGAGCAACTCCACGCAATCAGGCGAGCCTTCGCTGACGCAAGTTGAGGAGTGAGGGAGCAGTAGGTCTCTCGACCGATGCCTCGCCATCAGCAACCTTCACAGAGGCCGGAAGACAGACAAGAGAACCGGCGGGTGGAAAGTCAACCAGTACGATCGGTTCACTCGAGGCTGGGTCCGAACGCCGAACGGCAATCTGCACGAGAACGACTAGGGAAAGGGAGCCCAGCCGCGCACCAGCAGGCCCCCGAGATCAAGAAGCCGGTCGCGAAAGAACTTGCACCAGGAGAACCAGGACTCTGGCATGACGGACCGAGCATCTCACGCGCAATGATGACCGACCAGCTGAATCGGAAATCGGCGAGAGTACCGAATCCACAGGAAATCATACTCGCAATAGAGGCGATGTGGCCCAATTGGCCCGAGAGGTACGAGATCTGAAGGAACAAATGGGGGGAATGACTAAATCCCCCGGGCAAACGTTGCTCACTGCTTTGCCATTCTCCTCCGAGATCATGTCTTATAAAGTGCCCGGCGACTTCAAATTCCCGGAACAGGCCACCTTTGACGGATCTGGAGACCCACGCGAGCATCTGCTCAGTTATCAGGCCAAGATGCAAGTCTTAGGAGTCCGAGATCCGGTAATGTGTCACGCTTTCTTGCCCACGCTAAAAGGCTCGGCACAAAGGTGGTTAGTGCCCTCCGGGATTGATTCACAATTTCGAGGAGCTGTCCGATCGCTTCATGAGCCATTATGCGGCCAACATCAAACCACAGAAGGATTTGACTCATCTGGGAGACGTCCACCAAGAGGAAGGTGAGTCCCTGAAAACCTACTTGGTTTGATGGCAAAAAGAGATCCAGTCTATCGAGGAGGTCGAAGACCATACCGCACTCACTTTCTTCATCGAGTCCTTGCGATCCGGGCAATTATACTGGGATCTGCGGGATAATCGCCCGGCCACCTACGCGGAAGCCATACACATGGCTAATAAGAGGACTAACACGGAGCAGGCCATGAAGCATAAACGGCAGCGTGAAGTCGGAGGATCCGCCGGTGGAAAGAGGACCCGTGCGGAAATAAAGGAAAGGCGCCCGGAAGGGGCTCGGCGACCCGAAGCTAGGCGTCCCTATAACAGGCCTATTGTTCATCCCTATAGGACGGTTCCTCAACACCCGGTACACGAGGTACAAGTGATCGCTCCACCTCCACCCCCGCCGACTTACGATCGCGTGACGAACGAAGAGACAGGTAAGAACTCTAAGTACTGTCGCTATCATAAATCTTACACTCATAGCACGGAAGAGTGCTTTTACTTGAAAAAGATCATGGAAGGAATCATCCAACAAGGGACCTCGCCTCCTAATCAGTGGAGGCAAAGGTCGGCGGCGCGGGAGGACAATGACCCCGCAGTCGCCACCGAGAGCAGTCGCGGCCAGCAGCCCGCGACCGAGGAAGATGAGGCCCAGTGGCGTCAGAAGCCGGTTATTAACATGATTGTCGGCGGACCAGAAGGGGGCGACTCGGCGAACACCAGAAAGGCCTGGGCTCGACAGTTGTATGTCGGTACAGTATACGTGCGTGAAGAAGGTTCGAAGAAAGTGTGCCGGGAGCCCATCACGTTCACTGACAAAGACCTACCCACGGGGGAGACACCGCATCGAGATGCCCTGGTCATAGCGATAGACGTAAATGGGGTAGTCGTTCGACGAATCCTGGTCGACACCGGGAGCAGTGTCAACGTGCTATACCTCGAGACTTTCACAAAAATGGGATTAACCCGAGAACAGCTGAATCCAGTCAAGACGCCACTTGCCGGTTTCACCGGAGACTCGGTGGAGGCAGAGGGATCCATCACCTTACAGGTGGAAGTTGGCAGCTATCCCGACGTGCAGAAGCTCAGCATGAAGTTCATCGTGGTGGACCTAGTCTGCTCACACAATGCTATACTCGGCCGACCAGGCCTGGAGGATCTGGGAGCATTAATCTCCATTGAGCACCTCTGCCTGAAATTCCGCACACCGAACGGGATAGGCACGGTACTTTGCGATAGAAGAGTCGCCCACGACTGCTATCTACAGGCCTGTAGGGAGATGGGCAAGCGTGAAATGCAAGTCCACGAGATCTCGAAAAAACCCCCAAAGAAAGCGATGATACCCCGCCCGGAGCTGGCTGTGGAATTAGAAGAGGTTGAGATCGACCCTGAACAGCCAGACAGGCGGGTCAGAATTGGGGTCGGTTTCCCTGAGGAAATACGAGAGGAAGTTATCAAAGTACTCCGAGAGCACTGACTAGTCTTTGCCTGGGGTCCGGAGGATATGCCAGGCGTCGACCGGTCCATCATCGCCCACCGACTCGCCGTGGATCCGGACCATCGGCCGGTCGTACAGAAAAAGCGGTATCTCGCCAATGACAGGAGGGAATTCGTAAAGAAAGAGGTGAGCACGCTGCTGGCCGCGGTCACATCCAGGAGTTTAAGTACCCAGAGTTGTTGGCAAACGTAGTCCTCGTACCGAAGCCCCCAGTTTGGCGAATGTGCGTGGATTATACTGATCTTAACAAGGCCTGCCCAAAGGATCCGTTCCCCTTGCCGCGGATCGATCAGCTGGTCGACGAGACCGCAGGGTCGGCTCTGGTGAGCTTCATGGACGCCTTCAGAGGGTATCATCAGATCTTCATGCACCCGGCCGACGAGGAAAAAACCACGTTCCTAACATCGGACGGGGTATATTGTTACCGAGTTATGCCCTTCGGACTCAAGTATGCTGGGGCCACTTACACTCGGATGGTAGCCCGGCTATTCCAAGACCTGCTGGGGAAGTCCATGGCGGCCTACGTAGAAGACATGCTAGTCAAAAGCCGAGAAGAGATCTAGCACGCGGGAGATTTGGTCGACTGCTTCCAGGTGATGCTAATGTATAATCTCCGACTAAACCCGAAGAAATGTGCCTTCGCGGTGCAAGGCGGGAAGTTCTTAGGATACATGGTGACAAAACGAGGCATCGAGCCCAACCCTGAGAAGGTTCAGGCCATCATTGACATGCAGCCTCCCAGCACCGTCAAAGATTTACTATGGTTAACTGGTCGACTGGCTGCCCTCAGTCGCTTCTTGAGCAAGGCGGCAGACAAAACCATACCATTCTTTGAGGCCATGAAGAAGAAGGAAGGCTTTGCATGGACGACCGAGTGCCAACAATTGTTCGAAGAACTGAAGCAGTATCTTTCTACACCTCCAGTGTTGTCCACCCCTCAGGAGGGTGAGCCCTTGTTCTTATACTTAGCCGCCTCCCCCAAGGCGGTAAGCTCAGTACTAGTTCGGGAAGAAGAGCGTACCCAGCACCCGGTGTATTACGTCAGCCGCTCCTTAAAGGCCACCGAGACGCGATACACAGCCTTGGAAAAAATTGTTTACGCACTAGTAATCACCGTGTGCAAGTTGGCGCCCTATTTCCAGGCCCATACCGTCCGAGTCCTAATCGATCAGCCTCTGGGGAGCGTATTGCGGAGCCCTACATCGTCAGGTCGACTGGTAAAATGGGTCATGGAACTAACCCAGTACGGGATCGAGTATCAACCACGACCGTCCATAAAAGGGCAAGCCTTGGCCGACTTCTTGGTCAAGTGCACAATAGGGGAAGGCGAGAAAGAGGGCACCATGGAAGATAGCTCAGGTGAATGGTGGGAGCTGCACGCGGATGGAGCGGCAAGTCGACAACACTGTGGAGGAGGAGTCATGCTAATTACTCTAGAGGGCTTCCGGCTTTACTACGCCCTAAGCTATTTGTTTCCAACATCCAATAACGAAGCCGAGTATGAGGATGTGTTGGGCGGTCTTCGACTCGCCAAAATGCTAGGAGTAGAACGATTGCGAATCAAAATTGACTCCCGGTTAGCGGTCGGACAAATCTCCCGCACCTGCGAAGCTAAGAACGTCCGGATGGCCCAGTATAAGGAGAAAGCAATAGAAATGCTGACAGAATTCGGAGCCTATGAGATAGAGCACATCTCTCGGGCGGACAACATCGAGGCCGACATATTATCAAAAATTGCCTTAGAAGGAATACCAGATCACCTCGTTAAGATTTGCCAAAAGGAAGAATTAAGTCGGCCAAGTATAGAGGAGACGCCGTTGGAGGTCCAACATGTAACTATCGAGGAGTGGGATCAAGAGAAAAACCCCGAGATGTTCTGGATAGAAGACGTCCGGCGATTTAAGGAAACGGGCGAGTTGCCAAATGACCCAGGAGTCGCCGCAAGGGTTCGACGAAAAACCCCTTCATTCCAGATCATTGACGGGCAAATGTACAAGCAATCATTCGGAGGTCCCCTCTTGAAGTGCCTACTCAGGCCCGAAGCCGAGAAGATAATGGATGAAGCTCACCGAGGAATCTGCACCGCCCACCAGGGAGCCCACACTCTCGCCCGAAAACTAGTCGTCCAGGGGTACTACTGGCTGACCATGATGCGAGATTGTATTGAGTGGATAGCTAAGTGCCGCGTTTGCCAAGCCTTCGCTCGGAAGGATACTCGGCCGGCGACCTTCTACACATCGGTCACCACGGCCATCCCTTTTGCTAAATGGGAAATCGACTTGTTGGGACCGTTACCAGTCGCCCTTGGAAGCCTGTAATTCTGCGTCGTGGCCATCGATTACTTCACCAAATGGGTCGAGGCCGAGCCATTGGCCACCATCACCGAGTACCATTGTCGACGCTTCCTGTGGAAAAAGGTGATTTGCCGCTTCGGCCTGCCCGAGCACGTAGTTAGCGACAACGACCGACAGTTCGATTGTCAAGCCTTCGCCGACTTCTGTCGCCGGCATAGTATACGACACACCAAGGTATCCGTCGCGTACCCCCAGGCCAACGGACAAGTTGAAAATGTAAATCGGACCATAGTGGACGGGATTCAGAAGAAGTTGGAAGACATCGGAGGAAATTGGGCGGATGAGCTCGACCGGGTCCTGTGGGCTTATCGAACTACGCAAAGACGGGCGACTGGAGAAAGCCCGTTTTCCCTAGCGTACGGCTTCGAAGCCAAGGTCCCGATAGAAGTCGTGGAACCCACCCACCGAGTCCGCGACTATTCCGATGAGGAGAATGAGGAGAGCCTTAAAATTGAGAAGAATTTCCTGGAAGAAAGAAGGGAGGACGCACACGCTCGGATGGTAGAATACCAGCAAGCCGTAAAGAGGTATCGTGATCGAAGGATTCGCCCGCGAACCTTTCAGGTCGGCGATCTCGTGCTACGGGACCGACAGGCGAGCTAGCCTGCGGAAGGAGGTAAATTCGCAATCAAATGGGAAGGACCGTATCGCATTGCCGCTGTGGTCCAAGCCGGTACCTACAAACTGGAGATCCTAGAGGGAAAGCCCGTGGACCGAATCTGGAATGTCATCCACTTGAAGAAGTTTTACCAATAAGAGGTTAGCCGTGTATGAGTATCCGAGTTTCTAAACTTAAATAAAAGAGCGTCAATTACCATCAATTACCGCCTTCCACTCGGTAAGAAGAGATAGGAAACAAGGGCCCAGACCCTTAGTCGTTTCCGTGAAAAAGCCAAAAGGAGTCGTCTCGACTGAGGGACTCGGCAAGAAATTAAAGAAACAACGGGGCACTGACCCTAAACCGTTTCTAAGAAAAGAAAGAGCCTAAGGAGTCGCCTCGACTGAGGGACTCGACGAGAAGAGATAGGAAACAAGGGCCCCGACCCTTAGTCGTTTCCGTGAAAAAGCCAAAAGGAGTCGCCTCGACTGAGGGACTCGGCGAGAAATTAAAGAAACAACGAGGCACTGACCCTAAACCGTTTCTAAGAAAAGAAAGAGCCTAAGGAGTCGCCTTGACTGAGGGACTCGGCGAGAAGAGATAGGAAACAAGGGCCCAGACCCTTAGTCGTTTCCGTGAAAAGAAAGGGAGTCGCCTCGACTGAGGGACTCGGCAGGGTATTATACCGTTTCCAAGTATCAAAAGAGGAGAGAAGTCGCCTGGATCACAGGAATTCAACAAAATGGAAGAGTCCAAGGAATTTCATTAATGACGGACCCAAGAGGGGGGCTAACCCTTACAAAAGAGGGTTACCAAAAGGAAAACCCTAAACTACGGGGGAGGGGGTGTCGACATCAACTTCCTCGACTCGAGCTTCCGCCGTTGGTCCAGTTGGAAGAGCAAGTGAGGGATCTTCTGCCTGGGAAGGCAGCTCCGTAAGCTCAGAAGGTTCCTCCACAGGAAGAGCTGCCGGATCCGCAGTCGACACGGGCTCATCAGTCGCCGGCAGGGGATCCAGTACTGGCTTGAGGCCCCAGCTCTCGGGGGTAAAGGCAGAGTCGCGGGCCAGCAGGGCAGCATGAATTTCCATTTGGGCCTCGCGAAAACCCAGACGATAGTCGCGCTCGCCCAAGTCCAGGAGATAATCATCTCCTTCCGGCGTCGCCAGCCACTCCTTGGCGATCTCCTTCTGTCGAGCCGCCACCACCGCCTTCACATCCGCTTCGAAGGCCGCTGACTTCTTGTAATCATCCACCGAAGTTGTGGCGATCGTCGCGACCTTGTCCTGCTCCTCCTCCCACTGACGGGTAACCCTCAACAGCTCAGAGGTGTGCACCTCCACCGACTTAGCGTGCACAGCCTGCTCTTCCAGACGGGCCTCCTCTGTTTGGCGCAGTCGAGTAGCAAGAGATTGCAGTCCAGCCTTGTACCCCCTCAGTCGCCTGCTCATCTCCATCTGGAAGGTGAGGTTCTGCAAGACATAAGAAGTTAGATGAAGAAAAGAAAAACAAAAGAAGAAACGCAGAGTCGGAACACTTACGCGGTATGACTGGCGGAGCGAAGCTTCAAGGATGTATTCATCCTGCATCGAGCCGGTCATCTCCACGTCCTTAGGCAGAAGGACATGGTCGGCCCAAGTTCAGACAGAAGAACTGCCCTGCCAGATCTGGGCGTTCTCATCCAACTCGATGCCTAACCGGATCCTCTTCGGAGCCGGCGCATCCGACTGCTCTACAGGCCGCTTAGAGCTCGGGCTCTCAGATGGGTGAGGAGGCGGCTGCCGGGAAGGTGAGGCAGCTGGCGATGGCGTCAAGTCCACCACAGTCCGTGGTGGTGGAGGAGTCGACCTTGAGGCCGGAGAAGGGAGAGACGAGGAAGCAGCAGCGGCGCCCGAGTCGCCTTGAGACAGCCGACGCCTCATTTTCTCAGCTCTGTCATCCATTTCTGGAGTAGGAGTCGCGACTTCGTCGGAGCTGGTGGAGTCGGAGTCGTAAGGACCTGTGAAGGAAGGAAAAGAAGTAAGTACCAACAGTCGGACAAAAAGGGGAACAGAAAGGAAAAGTCAGGGGGGAGGCTACCTAAGGTGGCCGCGCCGTCTGGCAGCAAGCCCCGCTTCGCCATTGCTCGAACCCGAGACCAGTACTTGACGGAGTACTGTCCTCCACTCTTCAGGAACTCGCCACCCTGGATCGCATCCTGGATGAAGACGGCGCGCCGAGAGCAGGGCTTGAACAGAGCAGCCGGCCATAGGGTCGGAAAGGTGAAGGAGGAGAAAGAAGGACGAACGAAAAAGTAAAAAGGCTTCCAGTCTTTAATGGAGTCGGAAAGACCTTCGAAGAGCTGACGCCCGGGACGGGCGGCAACTTGAACGAAACCCGGGGAGTGCGATCCTACCTTGTTCACGGTGAACAGGTATCGGTAAAGGTCCAGGTCTAGCTCGCAAAGCCACCAATAACAGAGTTGATGAAGCAGGTGAGGAGACGGTGAGAGTTGGGCACTAACTGACCCGGGACGAGGTTGTAATGGCGGAAGAAAAGGGAGAGAAATGGACACGGGGGCACTCGAAAGCCAAAGGCAACCGAATGCAAGTGAATACCCACACAACCCTCCGGTGGGTCGAAAATGTGTCGACTTTCCGGAGCGAAAATAAGGGCCGAAGGCCCTAGAAGAAAGCGGGCCATGTCTAGGTCCGCCGCAGAGATCTGTGACGGAAGCCCCGTCGGCCGGACGATGGGATCGAACTTGCCTCGCGACCGTCCGGCGCCATCAGGGAGAGCCGCCACCGTCGTGAGAGGGGCTGGGCTCAGAGGAGTAGCCGCCCCCGAAGATTAGGGGGTCGGTTGAGAAGGAGACGCCGATGGGAAACCTGACGGAATCTCCATACGGCGAGGACTAGAAGAAGAAGAAGAGGACGAGGACATCGACACGGGGGTTCCCGCCAAGCGACGGGAAGAAGAAGAGTCAGAGGAGGAAGACATTATACCAACCTGGGGATGCTAACGGAGAAAGAACGCGGGGAGGGTCCGAGAGCCTTGAAGATTTTTTTTTTTTTGAGAAGGTTGAAGAAAGTTGAAGAAGTAGGAAGAAGAAGGGTATTTAAAGGGGGGAGAATCCCAAAGAGCGGCCACGTGTCACCCTCTCATTGGGGAAGAGAAGGGTGACAAGAAGTGAAGGGACGCCGCATTTAATGCCTGGGAAACTGTGGTGACGGTTCAGTCCTAGGGCTAACCTACAAATGGCACGTCTACCCTAGGCTATGACCGGGTAGCAACGACCCGGCCTGTTGGCAGGAGGCCCATTGTAGGCCCTGGTCTCTGGGCCCTCCGGATGCGGGTCAGAAGTTTCCAGAAGGAATCAGCAAAACCCGGCCATCAGCCTGCACGGGCTAATTTTAGCAAAGAAAGTCCCAGTCCGGGAGTCGGACAGCCAGATTTTCGTCGACCCCTCGAAAGGTCTCGACTGAGAAAAACTAGGAGTCGACTAAGCGAATACACAAGGATAATAAAAAATAGTGCAAACAAGGAAAACGACAAAACAAATTGTTTATTGATTAGAAAGCTACAAGGGCCTAGGCCTCGACCAAACTACAAAGTACAAAGGAAAAGACAAATCATGGCTTGGTCTCCTCCTCTGCCGGACGAGCGGGAGGAGGACCTTCCAAGAAAAACTGAGGACGGAAGGGTGGAGGACTCGGCTCTGACTCTGGTACCTCATCCAGATAAACGGCCGGCTTCCCATCATCGATCATCTGCAAAGGCCTCTCCAAAGCACTCGGAGACATAGCCACGCCAAAGAGAGGAGGAACCTCCCACACCTCCTCCTCCTCTGGGTCGGAGTCGTCCATCGTCAGTTCCACCTTGCCGCCAACCGGCTCAGTTGAGACCACATCCAGCATGTCTGGGGACACCACGATGGGATCAGAGGTCGAATCGCCCACCAGATGCCCGCCGTTGGCCAGTCTCTTTTGCCTTAGATCTTCCAGGCGAGCGTGTTCCTTGTTACGAATGGAGAAACGACGATCGCCGACTCTGTAGCTCATGATCTAGCACTTCTAAAACGGGAGTAATATGATTCACGGAGCACAAGAGGTCCTTATATAGCCCCGGAAGAGCGAGTACCTAGGCGGAAATCACGGAGAAGATTATAACTGTTGTAATAGTGCCAGATTAGACGGAAGGAAAGAATCTTTGTCAGGGGGTAGTCCCATCAAATCCGCTCGAGAAGAGCGAGATTCGCACATTGAACTGAAAAAGATAGATTCACCAAAGATACGGGGAATAGTGCAGGCGTTAGACTGAAAAGGGCCTGACAACATGGCCGACTCCCAGACCTGTCGGCCGGAAGAGTATGATGAGTGCTAGAAAGT